CGTTTCATAAAGGGGCGTGTCACTTTGCAACCTGCGGCGCGTCCACGTTTTATTGAATAGACAATATTTTGAAAAAAGTTACAGCCAAAAAACATTTCGACGCATTCTTTTTGGCCAGTACTGTACGGTATGGAATTGAAAACTGAGAAAAACAAAAAGTTTTAATTGTGTTTGAAACAGAAAATCTTCGGAAATTAAAAATTCCTTCTCTCATTTATGAACGTTAATGCTAATCTCAAAAACTACTGCTTCAAGAAACAACAAAGGTTTGCGGGTTAACAATTGCAATGTTTGTTGAAACATATTCTAAGCGACTCTTAGTTTTGGGATTAAAAAAATCGAAATTTTGCGTTTGTTTCTAGAAGGTCCTGTAAGTACTTTTGAATCACCAAAAGAACTGAAAAGTCAAGGTCATTTCAAGAGAATCGGTGCCCTCAAATTTCGGATTTTCTGCCATTTTTCAGAAGTCTGGAGATCGGCTGTCAAGTTTCCAAACACTTTGAAAATTTTGGAGGGTGTAAAACAAACTTACAAGGGAGGTGTTTTTAGAAAGGCTTTCAGAATTTGCTGAAATTTTGTACCAAGGTACTTTCGAACATGCTGAAAAAGGTTTCAGCAATATCTCGGTCATAATCCTAATAGGAACCAAAATATGGGCTGCATTTTCAAAAAAAATTTCAAAAATTCGCAAAAATTAGTGTGGGGGGCCCCATGGGGATTTTTTCCGAAAAAAAGCGAAAATTTTTTTCTTGAAACTGTTTAAAACCGACTTCAGATGATAGAAATGTGTTCAAAAATGAGTTTCGCATTTAAAAAAATCATGGAAAAAGGCTTTTAAAGCTCGGAAAATGCTCATTTTTGATCAAAATTTAGTACTGAAAACACTTTGAGAGCCCATATTTTGGTTCCTATTATGATTATGACCGAGATATTGCTGAAACCTTTTTCAGCATATTCGAAAGTACCTTGGTACAAAAATTCAGCAAATTCTGAAAGCCTTTCTAAAAACACCTCCCTTGTAAGTTTGTTTTACACCCTCCAAAACTTTCAAAGTGTTTGGAAACTTGACAGCCGATCTCCAGACTTCTGAAAAATGATCAAAATGGCAGAAAATCCGAAAGTTGAGAGCTCCGATTCTCTTGAAATGACCTTGACTTTTCAGTTCTTTTGGTGATTCAAAAATACTTACAAGACCTTCTAGAAACAAACGCAAAATTTCGATTGTTTTAATCCCAAAACTAAGAGTCGCTTAGAATATGTTTCAACAAACATTGCATTTGTTAACCCACAAACCTTTGTTGTTTCTTGAAGCAGTAGTTTTTGAGATTAGCATTAACGTTCATAAATGAGAGAAGGAATTTTTAATTTCCGAAAAATTTTCTGTTTCAATCACAATTAAAACGTTTTGTTTTTCTCAGTTTTCAATTCCATACCGTACAGTTACTGGCCAAAAAGAATGCGTCGAAATGTTTTTTGGCTGTAACTTTTTTTCAAAATAGAGCTAAAGCATCAAACTTTTTTGTAAGATGTAGAAAATAACTCGCGAAAACATTATGTAATAACATTTTCACACAAAAAAGGAAAACATTTTTCGGTGATAAAATTCACTTTTTGGAAAATTTCGAATTTTTGGATGCTTTTTTCAAAAATCTGAAAAAAATAGAAAACGATCATGACTGTGAAATTTGAATTTCAATCACGATTGAAGAGTGTGTGGCCAACTTTTGAACATGTAATACCTCATTGAGATACACTTCTGTTCCTGGTACGGGTGTTCAAAGCGTCAACTAGAGATTTCAGGCTTATTGGCTTTTTCTACTGTTCTCGGCTGTTGCCCACAACTTTTAGAAATTTAAGCGGCTTCTGGGCTGTGGCAGGGCGGATGTCGCTTTAGTTTTCTGTAGAAGCCGCCCAGCGACCGCTCTAAAGACGCCAAGCCTACGCTCAAAATTCGTGTAGCTCACACGAAATCTGACCATAGGCTCTAAAAAATCTGAAATTTCTCTCCAAATCAATTTTATAAACTAGATTTATTTTTAAAAACCAATAGCTAACAGAAGAAAGAAAAACAATAAACAGAATAACAAAAAAAAGATTGTCTCTTAGCTTGTCTTAGATTGTCTCTTAGCGTTGAATAATGATGTGGGTAGGGTAGGCAGTAGTTGTCACTTGAATGCTCTGAAAAAAATACGAAGATAATTGTATTGATTATATTGTCGCTTACCAATAAGATCTGTCAGATGAAAGCCGGGACATCATCACACAAGACACGCTGGTGAGAAGTTGGCCCAGAAAACCAACTTCATGTTCTTGTTCAACGCATATCGACCATTTATCTGCTTTTCGAACACCACCGATCTCTCAGATGGCATGTACTGAAGCTCATAATAAATTGAACGGATGAGTCCACGACGAGCGAGAACGTTCGGGTCCATGTGGACGATGTACTTGCCGTTGGCGCCGTTTAGGATGTCCGGTTTGCAAACGTATTGGATTGATGAGCCGAAGGAGATTCCATCTCGTTTGAATCGTTGATCAGAACGAAGCTGGAATTTAAAGTTTAGGTTCTGAAGGATCTAGGGGATTGAAGATCCAAGAGGGATCTAGGGATCCTCAGGATTCTTGAACCAAAAGTTCCTCCCCACTTACCACGCGATCAGATTGCTCTGATTGACACCGTAGTGAAGAGTCATATCGTAGTATTCTCGGTTACAAAACTAGGAAATCTCTCGGCACAGCGGGGAGCATTGTCGTTCCGGGCGTGAGCTGTTTCATCTTTGATGATACTCATCAGATGTATTACGATCTACAAGTTTCACAATTTTTCGAATCACATTTCTATGTTTTTACCTTTTTGTAAACTTTGGATTCCAGTATCAATTTTTGCTGCCCGAATACGTGTTGAAATGTCGTTTCTTCTGAAAATCATCATAAATACGTTCGCACATTAAATATGTATTTTACGAAGCTGTCTCTTCGACATGGAATTCGACATTCTGACAAATCCATTCATCTTCTTTTTTTCAGATGTCCTCACTTTAATTTCGAATGTCTGACTTCAAAACCAATTTCTGAACGTCCTATATTCGAAACCAAGTTTTTGATACTATTACCTAAAAGGTTTTTCATTTTTAGAACAGAAACGACAGAGAAAATAAGATAACTTACGCTAAAATAGGAAAAAAACGGATAAAGTTTGATTTCGAAAAGAAATTCTGATGCACGCAACGCGAGGCACGCGTCGCCTTTAAAATTCGCCCAAATATCGCCCAAGATTCGCCAAGGTGATGGTGGTCGGCGCAGCTGCCACAGATCTAGGAGCTTCCGGTTAAAAGCCGCCCAAATAACGCTCTAAAGCCGCATCTACCCCTGCTTTCGCCCTAAAGTTGCAGGCCACAACCGAGTTGCTGCACAATTTCAAGTGATAAATTTTTACTACTCTTTATGTTTTTATCATTTTTCAAGTGTTATGAACAACGTTCTAATTAGGAAGGGACATGAAAAATATATTGTTCTTAAAAATTTCCTCTCGAGAAGCTGAACTTATGGGTCCATGTTCGGAAGTGCCGCGTCGCTACCAGCTGGGCTACGGTGGCGGAAGCTACCGTAGCTCTATATACATATGAAGATAGCCGATCACTGTGCACCGTCACGTCAAAATGCACACTCTCACCTTGAAAAACCCGGAAAACTTATCTCCCCTACTTTGAGCAAAAAAAATCGGAAAATTGAAAATCACTGTTTCAAAGCCAATACTTTATTTTACAGTCTACAGTAAAACTATTCGTATTACAGGCTGAAAGAAATCTACTTTCCCATGTTTTCTTTTTCAATTTCTTGAATTTCCACTGAAATTTTTCAAAAAAGCCCCCTAATTTTCAGCGAAAAAATGTCCACAACGTCTTCCTCCTCGGAAGATGAAAATTTCATCAGAGTCGAGGAGAAAGTTTTAGAAGTGATGAAAAAAGGTTCAAAATTCAAAACATTGGATGATTTGGTGGAACTTCGGTGGTACTGTCTTTTGGTCCTTTTTATGGCTGAAGCCACTGCGTTTACTGCATTGGCAAGTGTCACAATGATGGTTTTTGCAGGTTAGTGTTAGAGAGAGAGAAAGAGAGAGAGAGAGAGAGAGAGAGAGAGAGATCAAAAAATCAGAATCTTTCCAAAATATTACATTCAGTATTGGAAATGACAAATATTTTGTACTTATTTAGTTTTTTTCCCATGTTCCATATTTTTCCCAATTACGAACGCTTTCTCTAGCAGCAACTTTTCAAACTGTTTCCATTGAAACAGTAAAAAATTATAAAATTTTAACTTTGCCAGTAGAAAATAGTCAACTTTGAAGCCTCACAAAAGTAGTCCGAAATTTTTTGATTTGTCTGAAAATTTGCAGAGTATACTCAACAAAAGTAGATATTCATTTTTGTTGTAGACAATTTTTTGTAAAAATTCGGCAAAGCGAGATAAGCGGTTTAAAACGGGCAATGTCGTACTTTCTCTATAAGAAGCACGCCCCATACGTGCCTTTTGAGCTTAAATATCTCGGTTCTTATAAGAGATACCAAAAATTTGATTTTTTTAAAACTGATAAAATGTTGCTGATATTATTATTATTATGATAAATGCTTAATCAGCTGACTATTTTTTCATACCTGTTATAGGATCCGAGATAATTGAGCTCAAAGCGCACGAATAGGTGGGTCTTCTATGTATTAGAGAAAGTACGGTAGCTTTTGTTTTAGTGCTAATTTGGTCACTTTTTTGGTTATAAACGGTATATCTCATCAGAATATAATTTTACAGGAGCCAACCCTACCGTAGTCGGATGTGACAATACGATTGTCAATGGTTGTCATGAGCTCAGTGCGCTTAAAAATCTTTCCGGTTGTACGCCAGTTTTGGAGTATCAGTTTGAGTCCGTGCAAGTTGAGGTAAAAAATTTGACAATTTAAAGCAGAAAAATGAGTTTTCAGTTTAATTACATCTGCGAGGACGCTAAAAAGGTGAAAAATACAATTACGATTCAAACATTCGGAGTGCTGGTTGGAGCTGCGATTTTCGGACAGGTTTCCGATAATTTCGGGAGGAGAAAGGTAATAAGTAGAATATTTGCACGTCAATATTCATAATTAACATCCTTGAGTTGTTTCGTGGTTAAAGATTATGCACTAAAACAGTAAATATATGTTCACCTTGAAATCTGTGAAAGAAAAGGCTCCTAACTTTGAGTTAATTTATCTCGGCTCCTGTCAAAGATGTGAAAACGGGGCTCAGTGATAAATTGTTGATCATGTTATCACAAACATTTCATCAGTTGACGAATTTGTGATATCTCTTATCGGAACCGAGATAAGTGGGTTCAACCTTGACAGTCTTTTATTCCAATTTTAAGGTAAATTATTGAAATTTATCAGTTGAAACTATTAGTAACAGTACTGGTGCCCTTTTATCACAGTTCTTACGGTATATCACTTTTAAATTTCAGGCCCTCATAATCTCATGCATCGGAAATGCTATATTCAATCATATTTCCTCGTATTCTCCTGATTTGTTTTATTTTGCTCTCTGGAGAACGGTTGCAGGAGTTTTTGCTGGAGGAATTACAGTGTGAGTTGCCCTTTGAGCTCAATTATCTCGGTTTCTATAAGAAATATCAAGACGTTGTCAACTGATTAAATATTTCTGACTTTGTGATAAACATTTTATAAGTTGACCAGCAAGCTGGTGCGCCTTCGGCGCGATATAATTTTCACGTAAATCTATATTTATTTTTCAAGTTTTTCAAAAGTTGACAGACTGACACCGGGACGGACAGACGCCTCTAGCGTTTTATTAATAAGGAATATTTCTTTCTGATATCTTTGAGAAGAGCCGAGATAAATTGGCTCCAAGTTGATGACCATTTTTTCAGTGTCCAAATGGTTTACATGGTCGAGAACATTCCGAGAAACCATCGAATGTGGATTCAGAATTCCATCACATGGTCGCCTAATCTTATTCTCTACCCGTACATTGCATACTTGTCACATGATTGGAGGACCCTTTCTGTTGTGATCGCAGCTGCTTCTGTGCTCTCATTTTTCTCATTAATGTGAGTTTTAAAAATTTGTTAACAAAATTAGATATGAATGAACTCGACGAGTACTACAAAATGATACTATTTGGATTACTGTATCTTGTCTGTGAACAAAGTTACAAGCCATACAAAAAACCCAAAATCGCGTAGCTCAGACGGTTTTTGACTTGTAAGTTTGTTCAAAGACAAGATACAGTAACCCTACTAGTATCATTTGTAGTACTCGATGAGTTCTATTTTTTTCAGCTGGTCCAAAAACATTGATCCTAGAAGCTATAGCGGGGCCTGTTTTTCAAGTAGGAAATAATGCAAGTGCATAATTGGTTCTGTAAAAAAAACTCGCAGTTTTCAAGCAAACTGAAACAGCAAATTTCATATTTCATTTTCTCATTTTCTCCTTTTTAGGCTTCTCGAAGAATCCCCCCGCTGGTTGGTACAAAAAGGAAAAATCGAAGAAGCCAGGCGACTTCTCATCAAAATTCGGAAAACCGATCGTTTATACTCAGAAGACTTCGAGAAGGATCTAGATGAAGTGCTGAAAATCGAAACTGAAAAACAAGCGATAAGCTCGAAAAAGGCCAAGAAATACACATTTATTCATTTGTTCTGTACCTGGAAAATGATCTCTCAAACGCTCACTTTTATCATTGGAATGTAAGTTTTCGGTTTGAACAATAGATCCAATAATATCGAAAATCCACTATCAACACTTTAGTTACGTAGAAACAGTGAAAAACTTTAAAAAAAAGAAAAACAATTCTGGAGGTATGGGGAATTGAACCCCAGCCCTCTCCCATGCTAAGGGAGCGCTCTACCACTGAGCTATACCCCCGCACGGTGTAGTCGACATTGGAGGGCGTAGACAAGAAAGAGCGTCGAGGGAAGAGAAAAGGCGGAAGATCGGACATGAAGCGACTACCATAGGCAGATAGAACAAAAATGAAGTTTCAGTTTAACTTCAATTTTTTTTTGGAAACCGTAATTTTTCAAATTTTTTATTATTCATGGTTTATTGGAAATTCTTTTGAATTCACGGGTAAAAACTCGAAAGTATCTACAAATTAGGATCTCATTAGACTATATCAGTTTCTTTAATATTTTGAAACAGCAATTTTTAAAATTCCGAATCCCCTGATTTTTTCAGTATCTGCACAACGTTCATTACCTACGCATTGATGTACAATATGGAAAAGTTGACAGGATCACTATACTGGAACGGGGCGATTATCGGGGTGAATGGTTTTTCTTTCTATCAACTTTGAAGCCCTACGAAAGTATTCTAGAAAGTTCAGGTTCAGTTAAAAACTTCAGTGTATATTTAACAAAAATAGAGCTTCATTTTTGTAGTTGACAACTTTTCTGAAAAATTTGGTCCCGAAGAGATATGACCCGTGGAAGTGGCCAGACTCTCAAGGCCCCGCGCGGCCCCAAAAGATAGGGGCGCTTCCACGTGGCATATCTCTTCAAGACCAAAATTTACAAAAGAGTTGTTAACTACAAAATTTAAGCTCTATTTTTGTTTAGAACACTCTGAAATTTCCAGACAAATCGAAAAATACTAGATTACTTTTGTAGGACTTCAAAATCTGAACGCTTGCAAAACACTAGTCAAATCGAACGCTAGATTTTTGAATGTTTCCATTGAAACTGTAACTATTTTCAGGCCGCTCGCTGGGTCGTCAATATCCTTGTAAGTGTGGCTGACTACAAACTACACTGGTTCGGTCGTAAACTCGTCAATATTCTGTCAATGCTCTTCACATTGCTCAGTTTGGCAGTGGTGGCTGTATTCATATTCTATACAGGAAAAGGTGGACAAGTGATGAGTGTGGGGACTACGGTAGCAATTGCGATGTGTTCTCAATTGTTTATTGCCAAGTATATGATGGTCAATGAGTTGTATCCGACGGCCGTGAGAAATGTCGCTGTTTCGGCGGTTTCTATGATGAGCAGAATTGGATCCATGTTCTCACCGCAATTGTTTTATTTGGTGAGTTTTCTTACAGTAACCGGAAAAATCCTATTCTGGTCTTTTTCGGTGAAAATGTAGTCTTGAAAACATTGTCCAGAATATTCCAATTTATCTGAAAATTTCACAGTATTCTATACAAAATTAGAGCTATGATTTTGTGATAGCTTTTTTGTACAGATCCAACTTTATTGGCTTCATGCGACATATCTCATTTGTGTCAACTTGTTCAAAAAAGTTGTCTATTACAAAAATGAAGCTTTATTTTTGTTTTGTATACTCTGAAGTTTTCAGACAAATAAAAAAAAATCCAGAGAACTTTTTTAGAATTTTAAAGTTGATACCTATTCTCAACCAAAAATTTTACTGTTTCAAAATTAGAATTTTAGTCAATACCGATTTTTTCAATTTTGCTTCTTGTGCAGTACTTCTCAAGGGTATTCGAATTTCTGAACATTTGCACGTTAGATTTTCAGGCTAACATACTCTAAATTTCCATTTTTCAACATTCTGTAGCAGTCCGTAACGTAATACATGCTTTAAAAAAATCTTAAAATAGTTGAAGATGCAGCATAAAAAATTCGAATATCGTAATCTTTTACATTGGCTTTCAAACAATTTTTCGTAATAATCGTCGTCAATTTTTCTCGATTTTTCACGAAAAAATTACAAAAATAATTCAATTTGAGTTTTCTAGGTCATCAACTTTCATGGACTAGAAATTATCTGATGTTCACCTTGTGGGTTTTCTAGGCCGTTTTGAAATAGAGGCCTAACTTTGAGTTTTCTAGGCCATCATTGTGAATTGGCTGGAAAACACATCAAACCATTACCAGGCTATTTAACATGATGGCCTAGAAAACTCATATTGCAAAAGTTAGGCCACCATGTTAAAATGGCCTAGAAAATTTTTTTTCGAAATTAACCGCTTTTGAAAAATTGCTGTCCCAAAATGAAAGCAAACTCATAGTCCGAAATACTTCTTAAAACATTTTATGAAACGGTAAGTATTCAAATTTCAGTTGGGTAACAGCAGTCTGAAAAGTAAGAAATTCCAAAAACTTGCCGTTTCAATATTTCAAAAATAGAATTGAAAACTTTTCAAACATAATATAATCTTTACTGTTAGAAACAAATTTAGTTTACATATACAGTAGGTTTTTCTAGGGCATTTTTTTTTCAAAATTAATTTTCCCGTTCTTTTTGGACCGAATGCCCAGAAAAACCCCAAAAACTTTAAAAAATCTCTATTGGGGGAATAATAATCTAGCAGACACAGAATCTGCAAAACTCGTTCAAAAACTTTATGAAACAGTAAATTTTCAAAATTTTCGATTTTTTTTCCGTTTCAGTATTTCGAGAATAAAGTAGAAAATTTCGTGTAAATAATTTCTTGATCTACTTATTTTTCTAAAAAGTTTTTGTGAAATAATTTCAGAGCGACATTGCCGAATGGATCCCCTATGCAGTTCTTGTCGGAATGCAACTATTAGATTTGGTCATTTTCTGTATTTTCATTCCAGAAACCAAAGGAGTCCATTTGGAAAATCATTTACCTCCAAAGCACAAACGAATCTTTGGCAGACGGGCTTAGCTTTAATTTTTAACTTCCTTTTTGAATGAATTTCTTCATTTAAATCACTTCCTTATCATGTTCTTATCATATTTTTTTTCTTATTCTCTTCCTCTCCCTCTGTTATCATCTAAATACATGATATCTTTTCTATGAAAATCCTGATTTATTGATTATAAAGATAAATGATGACCGAAAATCCTCAAATAAAGACGAAATTCAAAAGTTTGGATGACCTAATTGAGCTAAGATGGTACTGTATTCTAATATTGATTATGGCTGAGACTACTGCATTTATTTCAATGGCAAATGTTACATTGATGGTCTTTGCGGGTTTGTTTAAACAATTTTTTTTGCTGTTCCAAATTTTTCAAAAAAATTTTAAGTTTTTTTAAAATGTGTTACCTCTTGGTCTGTCATTAAATTTTTTTTTTGCTTTGAGTAGTACACAAACTTTTCTTCTTTTAAATTTCTAAAATGAAAAAGTGATTTTTAAAGAATTAAGGCCTTAAAATTCGGATTACCGTATTCCATCTAAAGAAACCCACCCAAACCGTCAACTTTGAGCTCCATTTCCGTGGAAGATATCAAAAATTCGTCAACTGATAAATTTTTCATCATAATTTCATCAATGTTTTATCAGTTCACAATTTTCTGGTATCTTTCACAGGAACCGAGATAATTGAGCTAAAGGTTGAAGGTTTGGATTGGCGACTACATATGGGAATACGGTAAGCCGAAATGAAGTATTCCAAGCTTAATCTTATGGGCCTACTTCCCCAATCGTTTAGTGGGCTTAAGTTTAGGGATCAAACATTCCTGTTTCAGAATTTTTCTAAAATTCTAGTATTCAAAATCTATAATTTGCTGACAAGTTATTTCTGTTTCTGATAAAACTTGAAAATAAATAGCCATTCATTTTGTTTCAATGATGAAACGAAAACCGGAATTTTCAAAATCCAATTTTTTTAAAACTCCAATTTTCAGGTGCCACTCCTACAGTAATCGGATGTGACAATACCACAATCAGCGATTGTCATGAATTCGAAAGTTTTAAAAATGCATCAAAATGTTCGAATCCAGTTTTGGAGTATCAATTTGAGTCTGTGCAAGTTGAGGTGAGCTTTTCTGTGTTCAACAAAATCCAAAAATTCATACTTGTAACGGGCCGGGCCGGGCTTTTTTCCAGATTTCGGAGGCCCGGCCCGGCGGGCCTGTCATTTCACAAGTTTTTAAAATTTCAAAAACACATAAGGGGGAACCCTTATGTGATTTTTTTATCAAAAAATTGTTTTCGAGTTTTTTCGATCTTTTTTGATCAAACAGACAAACAATCCAAAAAAACCAAAAAAAAAGAGAGGATTGTATTGAGATCTCAAAATTTGGCTCAAAATGACAAAATTTTTGATACCGGGCCCGGGCCTTGAAGTTTTCCTCAGGCCCGAGCTTTGGCGGACCGGCCCCGAATTTTACAAGTATGCAAACATTCGAAAATTCAAAAAAAAACCAATTCTCGTTCATTTCTGGAAATTTCTGAAAGGTTCTGGAGTCTGTTTTTTTGAATTTCCGCCGAAACTGAAAATTCTCTGTTCCAACAATTTTCTAAAGATGGTCTTGATTTTTATTTCACTGATCGTCATTCAAGATTTCCATTTTTTAGCCGAATTAAGTACCGCGCACCCTCGCATTTGGTGTATATGGATGGGGGTACGGTAGAAATTGAAATGTGTAAACACTGATCACTGTACACTCTCCCGAAAACATTCGTACCGTATATCTTTAATAAAAGGGCCCCAACATTGTCAAGTTTGAGCTCAATTATCTCGGCTCCTGTAAGAAATGTCACACATGTTTCAACTGATAAAATGTTACTAATATTGTGATAAACATTTAATCAGTTGACTGCTTTTTGATATCTTTTATTGAAACATAGATAAATTGGCTCAAAGTCAAAAAACGAACCAGAAAATAACTAGAATAAATAGCGTCGAAGGCGCACCAGCTGGTTTCTGATAATTATTTTCAGTTCAATTACATCTGTGATAAAGCTAAAATGGTGAAGAATACAATAACTGTTCAAACGTTTGGAATCGTCGTTGGAGCTGCAATTTTCGGTCAAATTTCAGATAGTTTTGGAAGACGAAAAGTGAGTGAAAAAAAATCGATTGAGCAAAACCCATCATTAGTCAAGAGCAACGTTTGAAAACGCCAAGGATCGAAAAATCAATTTTTTCTGAAACAGTAATTTTTAAATATTTCAGACTCTAATAATCTCAAGTATGGGAAGTGCCCTATTTAATCTCATTGCTTCCTACTCCTCCAATCTTTTTTATTTCGCTCTATGGAGATTTTTTTCTGGAATCTTCGCCGGTGGAGTTAGTGTGTGAGTTCTAGAGACGCAGATACTCAGAATTTCACAATGTCAAGAATTTTCGAATTTCAGCGTTCAAATGGTTTATCTAATTGAGAATGTGCCGAGATATCATCGAATGTGGATTCAGGTACATTTGAAGCCCATAAGAGTCATTTTTGACACATTTTCACTTATAATTGCCCTCTAATTTCCTCCTATTGTTATTATTACAGTAATCTCGGCTCCGCGTCACCTCGAAACCGGTCATTTCGAAACCGGTCGTTTCGAAACCAGTCACTTCGAAACTGCGAAATTTGTACGCTGCAATTTTTTCTTCAATTTTAAGCCTGAAAATATCCAATTTTTAATTCCATTTTCACATAACCGTGTCTTTTTCGGTTTCGAGATGACCGGTTTCGAAATGACCGGTTTCGAAATGACTGGTTTCGAAGTGTCACGTAGTTTCGAAATGACCGGTTTCGAAGTGACGCGGAGCCGTAGTCTCGTCTAGAATCGTTCCTGACCATTTTAGACTCAAGTTTAAATAAGAATCACCCCTAATTGCCCCTCAATCGTCTCTATGTGTCATTACTACAGTAATCACGTCTAGAGTCATTTTTGATTCAGTTTTTATCTACATATAATTACCCCTAATTGCCCCCCCCCCCCAATTCTCCTTATGCGTCATAACTACAGTAATCTCTGTCATTCTGTTTCAGAACACATTTACCTGGTCGCCAAACTATATCATTTTTGCCTATTTCGCATGGTTGGCGCAGGATTGGCGTACACTTTTGATAGTGGTCTCGGCCGCATCGGCGTTATCAGTATTGGTATTACTGTAAGTTGTATTTTTCTCCATTCTCAAGGAGGTTGGAGCCTGCGGCCGTTTCAATTTATTTTTGTATTTTAACGAAGAAGCAACCTAAATTGATAACTATTTATTCATGAAATTAAAAAAATCTGAAAAACAGCCCGAATTCGATTTTCAGACTTCTCGAAGAATCACCTCGTTGGTTGGTGCAAAAAGGGAAAATCGAAGAAGCCAGGAGACTTTTCATTAAAATTCGAAAAATCGATCGTTTATATTCGGAAGACTTTGAGAAGGATCTAGATGAGGTGTTGAGAATTGAAGCGGAAAAAGAGGAAGACGCGAAAATGACAAAAAATACACATTTATTCATTTGTGCTGCACATGGAAAATGTTGGGACAAACAGCCACTTTTCTGGTGGGATTGTGAGTTTTTGTTGGAAAATTATCATTGGAACAAAGTCTAGGAACTTGAAAGATTCGTCTGAGGACATATATATATCATGTAATGATTTCTTTAAATCATTGAACTGTGTATTTTTTAGTTGAAACAGCGTAATTTTTCTTTATTAATAATACAATTTATCAATAAAAAAGCCAAAAAGGATTCTGGAAATATGGGGTTTTTGATATCTAGCTAGAACAAATAATAAAAACACTATCAACAATTTGATAACAAAGTTGAAACAGAAAAAAAAACTTCAAAAAAGATTGAAAAAGAATCTGGAGGTATGGGGAATTGAACCCCAGCCCTCTCCCATGCTAAGGGAGCGCTCTACCACTGAGCTATACCCCTGCACGACGAATAGGGCGCAGGAGGGCTTAGACAAGAGGAAGGGAAAGGAGAGATATACGTGTAATGGCCTTCGTATCATCGTGAGAAATGAATTTCGAGTTGCTTAAAATAAAATCTGAAACTGTAAAAAATTCAATATACTTTTCAATTAATCTTTTTCAAGTTGTAAGCTACCTAATTCTAATATCCCAATTTTTGAGTTTTAAAAAAGGAAAATTTCAGCATCTGCTCGTCAATGACCATGTACGCTCTTCTGTTCAACATGGAAAAGCTTTCAGGATCCATCTACTGGAATGGGGCTATTATTGGGGTAATATTGCGAACAAATTAATTATTCCAATCAATCTGCATTTTTGAAACAGGAAAATTTCAAAAAATCTTTTTTTTTTATTTTTCAGAATGGATTTTATATAAAAACTGGTATCGTATGAAGAAGTACCTAAAAATATAAAATCGTAAAAAAAATGAAATTTATGAAACAGAAAACTTTTTTAAAAATTAAGAATTCTTTAGGCCACCCGTTGGATCATCAACATTACCGTGAGTCTGGCAGACTACAAACTACAATGGTTTGGACGCAAAATGAGTGTCACGCTATCTACAGTAATCACACTGATTTGTCTATCTGGAATTATAGTTTTCATGAAGACTGGAAATGTTCTATCCATTGGAACAAACCTAATAATCTCCATGTGCGCTCAATTATTCCTGTCCAAGTATCTAATTGTGAACGAGTTATATCCAACGGCTGTAAGGAATCTAGCAATGTCAGCAGTTTCTACAATGTGCAGAGTTGGAGCAATGTTCTCACCGCAGCTTTTTTATTTGGTCAGTTTTGAGAAACATTTTGAAAATTGCATACTTGTACAATTCCGGGCCGGGCCTGAGGAAAATTTCAAGGCGCGGGCCCGGCCCGAAAGGCCCAGTATCAAAAATCCTGTATTTTTTGAGCCAACTTTTGAGCTCTCAATATAATTTTCTCCTTTTTTTTGTTTTTTTAGATTGTTTGTCTGTTTAATCGAAAAAGATCGAAAAAACTCGAAAAAAATTTTTTGATAAAAAAAATCACATAAGTTTTAATGGGCCGGCCAGGCCCGTTACAAGTATGAAAAATTGCTATTTCGGAGCTTCGGAACAACTATAATTTTTGTAACTCGGAATTAATACCCAACATTCAAAATTTCCCATCTTCTACTGAAGCTTTTATTTTGAAACAGTAATTTATTTTCTCCAATTTTTCAGAGCGATATTGCTGAATGGATTCCTTATGCAGTTCTCATTGGATTCCAATTTGTGGATCTTCTCATTTTCAGTTTATTCATTCCAGAAACCAAAGGAGTCCATTTGGAAAATCATTTACCTTCGAAACATGGGAGAATTTTCGGGAAATCTGATTAAACATTTTTAATATTATTTTGCGGTTTTTAGTGTCCTAATCTACCACATCTTTTTAGCAATTTAATGATCACTTATCTGACAATGAAGCTTTTGAACACTGTATAACAAAAATTAGTGTTTCAGATTTTCTTAAAATCGTAGGTTATATTTTACAGCTTCATTAAACAATACTTGTATAAATGCAATTCCTCAGCCCTGTATTCCTGGTGTACTTCATTATTTGCACAAGAAAAATTGATTTCTACCACATCTCATGAAGCACATTTTCCGAAAAAATTCACTCTGATTACTTTGACCTAACAGTGGAACTTTTGAATACTGTAATGTAAAAATTAATGTTTCAGATGCTTTTTGGAATCTAAGGTCGTTCTTCTCAGTCTGATGTTGAAATCACTGGATCTGTTTCAAACTTTTTTTCTTTTTTCAATAAACTAAACTAGACGATTAGTCTTCAGAATTCACTTCAAAAATCAACGAAACATTATGAATACAAATTCAGCGGAAACACAAATAATTACTGTTTCTAAAAGTTTTCAAAAAAATAGGAAATACGGAGTATCCCCTAATTCTAGTTGTTTCTCATCCTTCTTATCATTCTTATATAAATAAATGAAGTTGCGTCTCTTTCTCGGTTTGTTTGTTTGTCCACACACGTGGAAAAACTGCAATAAATTATAAATTGACGTGACCCTTTGAGTAAGACAGAGGAGCGAAGCGACGAACAATACAAAATATGGGTTAAATCGCGCCAGCCAGCTGTTTGAAGCGCGGGAGGCGCGACAAACAGGCTGGTATACTGTAAACACTCTAAATGAACGTCACCCGATTCGTCAAATTTGAGCCCATGTACCCCATTTTCTGTGATAGATATCAAAAAGTGGTTAACTAATAAAATGTTGCTGATATCATGATAAACATTTTGTTAGTTGACAACTTTTTGATATCTTTCAAAAAAAGTGAGATATGTAGGCTCAAAGTGGACGATCCGGGTGGCGTTATAATAGAGTGTTTACGGTAATTGAAGCTACCGAAATTGTCAGAAACAGGAAAGTAACCGCAAACATATCATATTTTTCTTATTTCAGTTAAAAATTGTCGATTTGTCTGAAAGTTAAGCGATATTAGCGGTTTCAACATGACATAACTCTTAATTCACCGATAAACTTCTTTGGTGATATCATTTTTTTTACTATATTGAAACTTTCAGAAAATTATTTCACCGTTTCAAAATTAAAACATTAATTAGTATTTAGAATAATGAAAAAATACTGAATATATTTAAAAAATAGCGTATACATCGGTACTTCTCATTATCATGAGTATCGGACATTACTTAAAGGTGGGGGGGACATGAAAAAAAAATAATGTTCTCGAAATTCCGTTCAAAGATGCCCGTCGAGGAGTTGAACTTGTGAGGGCGATGATTGAGGGTGCGGCACCGCTACCGACTGAGCCACGCGGGCAAAGAGAAAGCGCACGCCCAATTGCATACATAAAGGCGAGGACGACAGCTGTACGCAGAGTGACATTAAGCGTTGTACACCGTGACGGTAGAATGCATACTCTAGCTACAAAAAAACTACGAAAAATCTCATGTCCCCCGCCCTTTAAATTTCTGAAAACAACATAAATTTTGCACTTGTTTCATGTGGAACTGTATCTATTATTTCATGATCTATTTCTCAACAATTTGCATAAAAATTCATGATAGTTGTATCCATAACACACTTTTTAAAGTTCATGTAGTTTTTGGAAGTTTTGGAACAGTAAATTTTTTTCGTGGAAAAAATTAGCTTAAAATGATATTGCTAGAAGCCTCAAGCTCAAAAATGTTAAAGACTCGTCTTTCAAAAAAGCGTCTACTCTATTTTTTCCTCAATCTTTACAGAAATACATGTGCTTTTGAACGACTTTTTTTCTGTCGGATTTTTGGATTTCTTGCGACGCGCATCGGAGAACAAAGAAAACCGTCTGAAAATTGGCAAACAATTTAATAAGAAAAATAGCCTAACGAGTTTTCTAGGCCTTCCACTTTTATTTAACTCTAGAAACGACCCTGGGTTTTCTAGGCCATTTTGACATAGAAGCCTAACTTTCGAAAATTGAGTTTTCTAGGCTGCCATGGTAAATATCAAATTTCAAATGTTTGCTGTTTCAATATTTCAAAAATAAAATAGGTTATTTAACGATTTCCACGTTTTTTTGGGCAGGTTTTTCAAATAAAATTTTTTACTTTTTTTTTTGATTTTTTTTGGACCGAATACCCCGAAAATCACCCAAATTTTTTTAGACATCTCTATTGTGGGATACATAATCTTAGCAGACAAAGAATCCGCATAAATGTTTGAAAACTTTATGAAACTGGAAGTTTTCAAACTTTTCGAAATCAAAATTTCAAAAAAAAATTAGAAAACTATTCAAAAAATAATGCTCGTTCTGGATGGATTGAAGGCACATTATAGTAATCCCCGAAGGTTCAATCTATGCTTCTGCTTACCGTACTACGGTATATTTGAGCGCATTTAAATGACGCCACCCCGTTCAAAATGTGTGAACACTGATAAATATACACCACGACGCAAAAATGCAAAATCTCTTTCAATAGTCTTTTTTTTTCAGAGTTCTCAAGAAGTTTAATGATCACTGATCTGACAATAAAGCTTTTGAATACTGTAATAGAAAAATTTTTGTTTCGGGTTTTCTTAAAATCGTAAGTTATATTTTCCAGGCTAATGTTCAAATTACTGGATAAAAAAAAAAGAAAACGACATTTACTGATTCAAACAAGTTTACTGTGTTTTAACAAACCAAATGTGACAATAAGTGACTTTAGATGCGAATGCAAAAACCAGATCATGAATAAAAATACAGCGAAAATACGAAAAAAAATAATTTTTCAAAAATTGCAAAAAGAATGAAAAATACAGTATTTCCTTCAATGGAGTTTCTTCCCATACCCTCTAACTACAGTACCGGGCAATAACATACTTTTCAGTAGATTTTTGGCCATTTTGACCATATTCAGTATTCTGGAGGTAGGCTGTCAAGTTTTGGATCACTTTTGAAATTTTGGAGAGTGTGAAACAGACCTAGATTGATAACTTTGCGTTCACAGATTTTTTTAAAAATTCCTATTTGTCAGACATTTGCCGATTTCTGAGACACACCTGCTTTTTTCACGCTTTCAGTACAGTAACTGGCAAAAAAGCGGTGTCTTTCAGATATCGGCAAATAGCTGAAAAACTAGAAATTTTCAAAAAATTCTGTGAATGCAATATTTTCAATCTAGATCTGTTTTACACCCTCCAAAATTTTCAAAGTAATCGGAAACCTGACGACCGATCTCTAGACTCCCGAGAATGGTCGAAATGGCCGAAAATCCACCGAAAATTCGGTTTGGTATTTCTTATTGACCAATACCGCACATGTCATTTCCGAAAACCAGAAATTCAAACTTTGAAATATTCGAAATTTCTGAAAAACGGAAGATTACCATCCTTTTAATAAAGAAGTTACCTTCTTTTCCTGACACTTTTTATGGAACAGTAATTTTCTCTAATTTTTTAGAGCGACATCGCTGAATGGATTCTTTATGCAGTTCTCATTGGACTCCAACTCGTGGATCTTCTCATTTTCAGTTTATTCATTCCAGAAACCAAAGGAGTTCATTTGGAAAATCATTTACCTCCGAAACATGAACGAATTTTCGGGAAATCTGATTGAAATTTATTATTTTTTTTTGAGTTTTTAGTGTTCTAATTTACCACACCTTCTCAAGTAATTTAATGATCACTTATCAGACAATAAAAATTTTGAATAATCCAAAGATCACTGTTTCAGGTTTCTAAAAAATCGCAAGTTATATTTGACAGCATAATGTTCAAAACACCGGAATTAAAAAAGAGAAAGCAACATTTACTGTGAAATAAATTACTATTTCAAAAATTTCACAAATACGTTACCAAACTGACGAAAAGTGGTGTCTTTCAGAAATCGTCGAATAGCTGAAAAATATGTTTTTTTTTAATATCTTAATGATTGTACTGTAGTTAAAGTGTGGCATAAAATAAAGAATTGGACGGTTAAGGCATAGCATGTCTACAATCAGAGAAAATAACGTATTTTCAATTCTTTGTGAATTTTTTGAATCAGTAATTTTTTGTATTTTCGCTTAATTTTCGTTAACTTTTTGCTGGTTATTGAATACACGGATTGGCTACTTTAGTTCGTTGAAAACACAATAAACCTATTTGAAACAGTAACATTTGTTTTTAGGCTGAAAACTTGACGGCCGATTTCCAGATTCTTGAAAATGGTCCGAATAACATTCGACCTCCAGACTTCCGAGATCTATGCATTCTTACTGTTGCAAAATTACTGTTCCAAAAAATTTACGTTTTTGATTCACTACTTCCGCTATAATTTGTTTAAATGACATTTAATCTTCGAGAATTCCCTAAAACCTCTGACCGTGCACACACTTTGATTTTTTTACCCCCTCGTGGTGTTTTTAATCCGAAACTAAATCACTGTAACACCTTTTGACAACTTCTTTTTTGGATTAAAAATTTTTCTCTCAGTTTCCATGATCTTTGCCGTCAACGTCATCATATTCGTTCTTCTTCTTCTTCTTCTAACCCTATCTCACCTTATTCTTCTTTTTTCTATAACAATTTTTCAATGTCATAAATCAAAGCAACGAAAGTTTAGTGCTGTCTGGTGTCTCTTTTTCTCTGTTTCTAAAGATAATTAGTAGAAAGAGAAGGGAGAAATACATTATCTTTACTACCCTTTTTTACTGTTTCATTGTTCATTTTTCAGTGAAAACCCAAATGTTTGAAGTTGGTGTTTTTCTCCAAAACTAGGCAAAACTGAACAAACGGGAAATTCAAAAAGCTTAAACTTTGTTTTTAGAAAACTTTAATCTCTATCAATCAAGTTTGAAGTTTTATTCATGAAAATATTCAATTTGAAACAGTAATTTTCAAATTTCTGTACTTTTTTTCCTTATGACTTATTTTACCAAACTCAAACTTCATATTTCTTCATGAATATAGACTTCCCAAAATTTTCATTTTAACTACTTCATTTACTAATTTTTAAAGATTTTAATGAGTTTGATTTGATTTTATAACTTCCAAATTTTTGAAAAAAATAACTGTATTCCAGAAATGACGTCATCCCCGACGTCATCTTCCTCAAACTCGGAAGTCGAACAGTTTCTGAAAACCGGAGACGTTGAAGAATCTGTAATTCGAGAAGAATCTGCGGAAGCAGTTGTAAAGGACTCTGGTCTAGATGAATTCTTCCGACTCCGCTGGTACTGTCTTATGGTTTTGATGATGGCCGAGTTTACGGCGTTCACGGCCACGGCCAGCAGCAAGGTCATGGTTTTTGCAGGTATGTTGGTATGGAGCTTCGCTTTATTAATATTGAATCAAATTTTAAAAATTACGACTTCAAACTAATTTTCAAAGTTTTGAAATTTGTTTTGTAAAATCATTGTTCAGTATTACCACAACTCAAAAACCCCAAAAAATCAGTAGGTCTCCTGACCCATGAAGATGCATGTCAATTCGCATTGATAATCACACAGAGGAATCATCATTATCTTGGTTTCACGTGAAGAAAACAACCGTTTTGCAGACTTCTAGAAAATCAGAACAAGAAAAAGAAAAATTGACCTTTATACGGAAAATGTATGACCATTATGAAACTGAGGATCAGAGAACTAATATTTCAAATACGTTTTATGAAACCGATTTGTTTTAAATTATCAAAATCAGAATTTCAGCGTTCGAAAATCGCAAAAGTTTATAATCTAAAAATTTCAGAATTTCTCGAAAATTCAGAAACATTCAAAGATGGAAAATATATTCTGCCGTTTCAAAATTTCCTCGAAATCAATAAAAAATTCAAATAAATAATTATAATTCTTTATAGAATTCTATTTATATCTCTTATCAAGTCACTATCAATCTTAAGACGAAAAGTGATGAAAGTTGAAAGATAATCGACCACAGAAACTGGCTATTTTCGTTTTTTCCTCCTCTTCGACATAAGAAAATATGATACTTCCGATTTTGTGTAAGAGAGCTCATGAAACCGCTTTTTTTGTTTTACTAAAGAAAAGTTGAACACCAGGGCAATGAATTAACAACTTTTTATGAATCCAAAGTTGATTATTTTTCACAAAAAAACTATTTTTTGCCTGGTTTTATACAATATAAAGTGCCACCAATTGAGTATTTAGACTTTCTCTTGAAAATAATTAAAATTGAAACAGTATATTTCAGGAGCCAATCCATCAGTCATCGGATGTGGAGGGGTTCCGATAAAAGGATGTCATGAATTAGCAGCACTTAAAGAAAATATAACCGAATTGGCAAATTGTGTTCCTGAACTGAAATATCAATTCAAATCAGTTCAAGTTGAGGTATATATTGTTTATTCAAACTAATCGCGCGGGTGAACGAGTAAAAAAACGTGTAGAGAGTCTCCAAACCTGTCGAGGCGCTGTAGAGACGCAGGGATTTTTACTCGTTCACCCGTGCGATTATTTTGAATAGACAATAATTAAGATTATTTTTAGTCTCGAAAAAATTTTCTGTTTCACAGAAAATTTCGGAAAGCTAAAGTGATATGCCGTTTTGCTATTTTTAGTATATTGCTTTCCGAAAGCATCATTTCTTTGAAATGCATTAAAATCCATGATTTCTAGTTCAACTACGTTTGCGAGGATGCGAAAAAAGTGAAGAATACAATTACAATTCAAACATTGGGTGTTTTGATTGGAGCTGCAATTTTCGGACAGTTTTCTGACACTTATGGACGACGAAAGGCTCTTTTGATATCTACATTGGGAAATGCAATTTTCAATTTCATATCTGCTTCTTCGCATAACTTGGTTTTTTTTGCACTATGGAGAACAATGGCTGGAGTGTTTACTGGAGGAGTTACTGTGTGAGTTTGACATCCTGACTTTGGATTACAGTAACCGTAAGTTCATAGCATTTTTTCATAAGTAGTTTATGTTCCCTGCTCACGATGGGTCTCTCCTTTGATTGTGACGTTAAGTTTGAAATCATACTTGAAAGTTTCCAAAATTTTCGAAATATTCAGCGTTTAATATTAGTTTTGAGATCTTGAATCATCTCGTACTTACCAAAAATATATCGCTTTAGATTGCTCACTTTTTAAAGATTTTATTTATTTTCTGAGCGGTGACAAACGGTACATAATGGCGCATCCAAAGTTCCCAAATCTGGGATTTCTGGNGCCCAGAAAACACTCCAAAGTGACGCCCAGATTCCGAAGATTTCCAATTGAGCAAAATTTGAACCAGTGCGACAATGCAATTCATTATTGAATCAAAATATGCAGAAAAGCATGT